GCAAGTATGCATCTGTCGTGTCTTTTGCCTAATTATCTGGAAACATTAGAAGTGAAATGTGCTTGATGATCACATTTTGTTTTTTGTAGTATGGTCCACTAAGCTAGTATACTTTGTTGATTGTATTTGATATAACTTGGTTAAATTAAATGGTGATGCCGTTTTTAATTTTTTTCTTCTATTTGTACAAGATTTTCTTTGGCAGTGGTGCTTCTCTGTGAAGTTTATGGTACTTAAACTCAATTTCTTACAATTACGTTCTCTGTTAAATTGATTTTTATATTCTAAATTTAGAAGTGAAATGTGCTTGATGATCACATTTTGTTTTTTGTAGTATGGCCCGCTAAGCTGGTATATCTTGCTGATTGTACTTTATATAACTTGGTTAAATTAAATGGTGATGCCTTTTTTAATTTTTTCCCTCTATTTGTACAAGATTTTCTTTGGCAGTGGTGCTACTTTGTGAAGTCTATTGTACTTAAACTCAATTTCTTACAATCATGTTCTCTGTCAAATTGATTTTTATATTCTAAGGATAAGCGTGATTCCAATTTATTCCAATTTAAAGGAACTGAGAATCAATGATTTTTTTTATTACTTAAACCATTGGTTCTTTTGATAATTATGGAATGGAATAGAATCCAATGGTTTCAATTTGATTTGGTTCCTTTCCATAATCAAAGTTTGTATACATACATTGCACATTTATTTGCATGTATATATTGTTTGATTTGTATAGATATGAACATGGATATAGATAGTGAAATTGAAGCTATTGGTGAAACTCCTTCAACATTTGTTCCTTCACTTCCACCATCATGTTTAGGGAAGAGAAAAAATAGAAAACCTTCGGATGTGTGGGAACACTTTACAGTTATAGGGAATTCAAATGCAGAAGATGTTAGGTGTGCGTGCACCTATTGTGGGCAGGATTATGCTTGTGGGGCTAGAAAGTATGGAACTAGTACCTTGAGGAATCATTTGGTTCTTTATTGTAAGAATTATCCTGGAAGATTGGAAGACAAAACGACAAAAAAGCCCAACTGAGGGTGGTATGAACATTCTAGTTGGCCTTAATAAGAAAGAGTGTAGGCTTGCATGTGCTAAGATGATAATATTGGATGGATTACCTTTTAGCTTTGTCCAAGGTGAGGGGTTTAGACGATTTTGTAAGATGACAAGGAAGTTGCTTGTAATATGACAAAGATTTTGAAAGATAATTTGATGTCTATTTATGATTGATATGTGAGATGTGAAACAAGATCTAAAAGCAATCAAGTATCTAGTGACTTGAATTCTTCAAATGAGGTTTCTTCTGCAAAAGAAGGTCCCACTTCAAGTGTGTCTCTTTCTTGTGTTTCTAGGTTTAAGAGAACACAAGTAGCAAAAGATTTAGTTGAATTGGAAAATGATGTGGATAGATACTTGTGAAGATATCGAGGACGATAATTTTGATGTTCTTAATTGGTGGAAAGTTAAAGAAAACAAATATGGTACATTGTCAAAACTTGCAAGAGATGTAATGGCTATTCAAGTGCCTACGGTGGTTTCAGAAATTGCTTTCAGTACTGGAGGAAGAATTCTTAATCCATTTCGTAGTTCTTTAACTCGTATGATGGTGGAAGTTTTGGTGTGTACACAAAATTGGATTTAAGAGTCTACAAGCATGGAGAAAGTCTATATGGAAGATGTGGAGGAATATAATAAGTTGGAGGAAAGTGATGTAGCTATTCCATGAGTTATGTTAAATACGTATTCTATCAAATTTATTCCTAATTTAATTATTATTTTTTGTATAGCTTTTTGAATCAAGGAAATCAAATGAAGGCTAAATCATGTGATTGGTTCATTTTTAAATTTCTAAGGTAGATATGTATTCTAAGGTGTATAACTCTTTATCAATGTAATATTTATCTTTTTCTCTA